TCTCTGTTGTTATTTACTTTAGGTCTTAGAACAGGAGCAGTCTAGAAAATTAAAAGAGTTCTTTTACTGGAGAAAGTGCAGTGTCTACAGTAATTTAATAGAGTCCTCAGCAGACAGAGTTTTTAAACTTGAGAATCTTTGCAGTTTTCTTGACAAGTCATTGAAGAACCTCACTGCGGGGATCTGTGAACTCAAATGTGTTTGTACTCTCCTTTCTAGTCTATCTCTTCCATCCATTTTCTGTGCTTTGTGCATGATATTTTTGCTTTGTTTCGTGTTCTGCTGAAGAATGAGTGGGCTGAGATTTTCCTGTGAGATGCCACCGAAGTTTAGGTGCATTGCTAAAAACAAGAGTGTCTAAGTGCACTTGTTTTTAATGACTGGGAGTTTCTTTTGTTACTAGGTGATGCAGATGTACCTCCCGTTCTGTGGGATTGCCATAGCTAATGCCCAGTTATTTGCAGCTTCAAGGAAGGAATATGACAGAAGCAGGGTAAGTAAAAAAATGTATATTGGACCAATATGAAACATCTTTTTTTCCATTCCTTCAGATTCTAGCTCTGCGTACGTATTTGTTAAGCAGACGTTTTTTAATTAAGTATGTTTCATTGCAAAACAATGCATTTACAACAGGCAATGCGCTTGATTCAGGCAGCAAGCAGAGAAGGTAGGAGGTAAATACGCTCTTAGTGGTAGCTGTTGTTTTCTGATGTCAACTTTTTGTTTTATAGTGGTGAGACAATTTGTGTTTTGTAGCACAGACCGTGCAGTAGAAAGAGTTTTGTGGCCACAGATTCAAAATCTCTTAAAATTCCAGAAGGATCAAACCTCTAGCACCCAGGATTTGTAATATTCATGTGCAAATAATGTGGATATATCTTTCTAAAAGTAAGCAAGCAAAAACCTTGTACGTGAAAAAGGTTTTGACAGCATGTGTCTGCATAGATACATTACTCATGATTGCTGATGCCATGCATGAGTTGGGCAGGTGGCTGTGAAGAAGTGAAAATAATACTGACCTCGCATGCCATTTACTTCTCAACTTTTTTTTTTTCAATAAAATGGAGTGTTGGAGGGGTTTTTTTTCCCCTCATTCTTGGATTTTGTTTTAAATCACCTTTCCTGCAATGACAGATACTACTTTTGTTATTATGTGTTGTATCTCACCAAAGCTTCAGTAGAACTGTAGATCTGTAGTGTCTGATTAGTCTTCCTTCATAACCTGGACAAACGGCAGTGGATGGGTTGTAGCAGCTAGCCACTCGCTGTCTTAGCCTCTCTGTATAGATCGCTGCCATTTTCAGATTCAGGATTTTGGTGCCTTCCATGTATAGAAGCCTAGTGCCTTCCATTAATTCAAAACTAAGAACAGCAGTACAGTGTATAGATTTGATGCTCATAAAAAGTTTTACCTTGTCTTCTGTCCAAGTCTGACTACAGACCACTATATTTCAGGGTGGGAGGTAGGGGGGAATGGAAGAAACATTTTTCCTGCCAAAGATTTTTCATTTGTTTGATACTAAAACAAAGTAATTGTTTGACTACTCAGAGACTTAAAATTTGCTAATTTGCTACCGAGTCTCAGCCTTCAGGGAACATAGACAGACCTTGGAGGAGTCGGCATTTAATCTTCTGAGGGAGGCATTCAGCAGAAAAATATTAAGGACATTCTCCTTCTTCATTAGAAAATGCTAAATTCTGGAGGGTGGACACCTCAGGAAATTGGGTTAGAGATACAGGTTCTTTGTTCTTGTTCCTTCAGCTATGGGAGACACAACAAACGTCATTGCCACTTGACAGCTATGTGGCGGCCTGTGGCATACCAGAGCAGCCAGTGGTCTTTGGCTTTGGGTAGTCCATGGTTGGAAATATGTAGTAAGTAACATATTATGGACAGGCCGTAATTTGCCCTCCCTGTCAACCTGGACACCAATGGTGATGTTTCATTTTTGGACCACACTGAAACAGTTTGGGAGATTCCCATTGTTTGCTAGGATTGTGCCCAGTGTTGAGCTAATAAATGCTTACTTCCATTTCTTTCTCAGGAGAACTGCCACACACACACACCCCGATTCAATTGCCATAATCATTAAGAACTGTATTTGAATGAAGATGAATGAATGGATCACTCATATTAAAATCAAGCCCAAAGACTACCCCTCCTTTGCAATGCTCCATGTATTCATTACTTCTGCAACCAATACAAGAGTTTTCTGTCCCTGTATACAGGCTTTGTTGGAAGTAGTGAATGACCTCTTTGAGGAACAGACTGACTTAGAGAAAATTGTCAAGAAAATTATGCATCGGGCCCAGACTCTGCTGAAGTGTGAACGGTGCTCAGTGTTACTTCTGGAAGATATCGAATCGCCAGTAAGTGTGTCTCCACATTTTACAGACGGTCTAGTACAAGAATGGTGTAACAGCTGTTTTTATTGTGGGGAAGCTGTCACATATCATATGTAAGCAGTGGACAGCGAGTATTCTTTCAGCGTATAATTCTTAAATATAAATTAGGTACAGGTCAAATCTTAATCAACATTACTTTTTAAAAGGAAACTGGAACTTATATTTATGATTCCTTTTGCTCGTTTAAGGGCGTTTAACAGAAAATCTGTAAGTTCCTGCTGGATCTGACAGTCAGTGGAGTGATCCAGCTGGTGTGCTGTGCGGTTCTTGAGTGCCTGTGTGATACAAGTAGTGCTTACAGAGCAGTTAGGGACAGCTTAACTGAGAAACAAGCTTCTCCTCTGGTCAGCTTAAAATAGAAAAATTGCCTAAATTGTTATCAAATACTTATTTTCTAGGTTCCTTTCTTTCATAGTATAGCCACTAGAAGAAAAGAAATATCCCTTCTGTAGCTTCAATTATATTTACCTGGAACTTACAACTAGCTTACAACTAGCTAACGTTTTCAGGCTAACGCCATATAAAATCAGTGTTGCTTGCAGGTGGTTTCAAAACCAAAAACCAAGTTGCATCATCAACAAATCTTTAATGCTTATTTTTAGAATTAATCGTTTCAGTGTACGTTCCAATAAATAATCATCAGCCGCCTTTGTTAATATTTCTACAACGTTCATACTTTTGCGTCTGTTATTATTTCAATGTAGCACACTGAAATAATGATGCAGTTTCTATTCTAGTATATAACGTTTTGGTTTCACATAAAAATCTTTAATTAGATTGCTGGCCTCTCAGAAATAACCGATAAAAATAAACTCATCAAGGCATTCTTACCTGACCATCCTGTGTATTCAGCAACTTGGTGAGCTTTAAAGCAATCTAACCAGTGTTTTTGAAGCGATCAGTTTGTGAACTCATCTCATGAACGTTTCGTGTGAAATCCAGCGTTTTATTGTGGATGAAAAGCAAGACGGTAAAGGTTGAACCTGCAACGCAATGAGTTTTCTCAGCAGCTTCTGGTGGCCAGTGCTCCATGGGATTTGCTCCTTCCTGAAAGATTTCTGTTCACTCTAGCTACTGGGATATGATTGGGAGCAGCTCTATTTATGTTTGCTCATTTTAACAAGTTCCTTTAATATCTTAGGGAAATGCTCTGCAAACTAAATAATGAGAACAGATCTCAGTTCCTAAATGATGAAAATGCTGTGAAAAAATCAGTTATCTTGTTATTTTGACCTAGTAATTCTTCTCTGAGGTGACAGAAAATCCACTGAAAACAACAATTGAATACAAAAGTCTAGTCAGTCACATATTTGTTCCTGTGATAGGAGCAAACTTTTGCATTGAGCAGGCGAAGTGAAAACATGACTTTCAGCATTATTTGATGTGTGCTTGTTTTTTTCCAATTACTCTGTCCACTTGACCAAGGAATAATTATTTTGTTGCAGAGCTCAGTTAAGTGAACAGATTGAGGTAAGCTATATGCAAGTATTTGTGAAGAGTTGGATTTCATGCACCATTTGGACAAGGGCTTTTGCTGGGACTCTGTAATACTACCATTCATAGCGTATTGAGCTTCTTTAAGAATCTTTAACATTGTTGTTATGATTGTCATTATTGTTAATAAAATAAATGAGTGCCTTTACATCTGTAGCCCCTGTTAGTGTTTTGAGGCTGTTCAACACAAATAAACTGTCAGGATTTCTACTGATTGAAGAAACAGTTGAAGGATAAAAAAACATTACTTGTAATACAATGTTTTTCCTCTCCAAATATCTTTGGATTCAATGACTCTGTAACTGGTTATTTGTTGCAGCGCTGTGTGTCTAAACGATTATCAGAGAGACAATCACAAGTGGGTGTGTCTGCATGTAGGGCAGAAAAACTATTGCATTGTTTCCTGGAGGAAAGATACGATTCTCATTTCATTTACACTACTAGAAATTAATTAATTTTAGTGGAGTATGCCCTAAATTATACGAGCATTGCACAAGCTTTGTATTTCTTGTATGTATGCTCTGTTATAGAATTTAAATATTTCTGGTTTATTTTCCCATTTTAGACCCCCTACGATGATTTTATAATTATACGATGTAGTTCTACTATGTTTCTATGGAACGTTATTATGGTTGCAAGTATAATATGATTTTTATTTTTAAAGAAGAGTACATTATTTTGGTAGTAAGCTGTAGGTGAGATTGTTCATTTCATTTTTTCCGCTGTTAATATTATTTCTGCCTTTGAGCAGAGAGGTTTTTTCCAGACCACAGGCAATGAGACCTCAGGCCTCATTACTCTAGACCAAATCCTGAAATATGGGCAGCCGAGGTATTCAGTTAAGCCCTTTTCAGGGTCAACACCGTTTCTTTTTTTTCTTTAATTTGAAGTAGGATTGAAGTAGGAGAATAGCATCTTGCCACCCACTTGGGCATTTTTACAATTTATAATATTTTACAATTTATAATACAATACAATAATTTACAATTATTTTCCTGATTCTACCAATTTTGGGGGTGAACCTATATATCAAAATGTATCTGCATAGAGTTACTCAGTTTTAAGCCATGTCTAAAATGTTCATCATTTGTACATCGCATTAAAATATTTTATAATGCAGATTTGAAATGGAAGATGGAGAATCACACTAGCAGCCAAAAACATTAGCTGGGTTCTGTGTCACATCAGCCGGTCTTAGTTACGTGTGGATGCTGTTGGCAGATATGCCGATGCCACACATTCCAGGAAAACTGGTTACCATTAGTCCTGGAAATAGACAATTCTGTGTATTTTCCTATTTAAAAAAAATGTGACGATGCGGATAAAGTTCCATCGTTTATGTTCCAAAGTCCTCTGAAGGCAAGTATACCGTTGCAAAAAAGTTTCGTGAAGGAGTCTTGAAAATACAATTTGATTTGATATTGTTTGCTTATGAATTGTGAGTAGCGTATAGTTCGAACGTGAATTCTCCACTGCAACAATACACATTAAATTTTTATTCTACGATCACAGGATAAAGTTATCATAAAAATACAGGAACCTTATACTACTATTTTTGTATAGATGTAGCATTTTCAGTAACAGTTTTAAGTTCCCTTTTTTTTTTTTTTTTTTTTTTTTTTTTAAACGAGACGGCCTGGGAATTTCCCAATGTCCTTGTGCCTGAGGGCCCCGTGTGTGTTGGGGGCGCGGGTGTGGGGGGGGGGGGGGTGTTTCCACCTAGTTTTAAAGTTGCTTGATCTTGGTTATATTTTCATATGGAACTTTAAAAATAGATTTGATTAAAGAAGCCTGAGCCTAAAGCTTTTACTTATGTAAAACTCCTGTTCACTTCCAGTGGAGCATGGCCTGAGAAAACATACATGCTAGTATTGGTATTTACATATTAACAGCATATCAGTATCTCAGAGGAGAAACCATGAAACAACTGATATCTTTTTATGGTTGATTTCATGGAGAGTATGCGAATGTTGTTTTGTGTGGTTAGTACTGAAATAAAAATAACAAAATTATTTTCGATTGTTGTTTGTTGCTCTCTTACAAAATGCCTCCTTAACAGTTGTGTTGAAAAGTTTCCAATAAGAACTGATTTTTGCTCTAGTCCTCAAGTTGGAAAGCCTACAAACCTCAGAGAACATGCATTTTCTAGCAATTGTGTTCCTGTAACTAAGTCTTGGGTGGGAGACCATTCAAATATATATATATATTATATTTTTATTTTTTTTTTTTTTCTGTTTAGCAGGATCTGTACTTAAACATTGATAAAAAGCTAACTGTAAGAGGTGTAGTACAAAGAGCTTTTTCTCCGTGTGGGGTTACTGTCTTAGTTCCTACAAGGTAATGTAACTGGTTCATATAAAAGGTCCTACGTACCAGATGAGCAGATGAAGATTCAGGGCTATTATTGAAAGGTTTCTCTCATCTGTTAGGTCTCAGACTCAGTTATCATATACATATTACATGCAAACCAGGTCATACTGATTTTGAATCAGAATTTTCCACGTAGAATCATTGCTGTAATGATAAACCTAGCTTTCGGTCCATGCTGTTATCAGTAACTTAGCAAGCTTGAAAATTACTTTGTGCCTCTCCGTAGTTAAGCTGAGCCCTTTAAGCAGTAGTATTTTAAAAATACTTCAAGGAAAATTTGCCTTCTTTAGTGCTTTATTTCTTCACCTCCAGTGTAGTAAGAAGCTACCAATTGCTTACTTCATTAAGGTGAATATGTGCATTGTACACCAGGTTATGATAACTCATAATTCTTGATGCTGTTCATGAATAGATCTCACAGCGTTACAAAAATGGATAGCATTGTTTTTAAGATGTGCAACCTGTGAGCAGAGTCCAGGGCCACACAGAAAGACAGGAGTAGAGCAGAATGTGCCCTATCCCCCAGTGAAGAGAGACAAAGTGGAAAAGGAAAACGAGTGATAAAAAATATGACAGTTTAAATATGAATAAGTAATCTACTGATTCATCTGGGAATCACAAGTTACTGCTTTTGACAGAGAGCTTCAGAGTAGCAATTGCTCTTTCCTGGGTCAATTAAAGGGGTGAAAATATGTTCCTGTTGTTCAGGGACAGGGGTATGAATCAAGGGATGTTAGTTGTTGTTTCTGTTTTTCACAAACTTGATCTGTAGCCAGATTAGTCAATGCAATGTAGAGTGATGTCAAGATAACCAAGCTGGCTCATTTCTTGTTACCATAGTTATATTAGCATGTTACCAAAAAGCAGTTTATAGTAGCCTGCTGTGCATGTGGTCAACTTGAGATTGTTCTGAGATGTGAATAAACATATGCAACCAGGTTGCCAGTCTTACAAGATTTATTAAATTATATTTCTGTGCATCTTGGTATAAAGATATATTGCTTTTCTTTCATTTCTCATTCAGTGGAGAACAAAGTTGGTTTTACAGAAATCAAGTTTAGACTGGCAGATATGATGTCACATTTGGATCTAGCGCAGGCACAGCTTGTGTTATTGGCACTATAGTGGGAAAATAAAGGTTATTTAGGATACAGAATAACGCCTGGAGCCCTTGACATTTGAGCATTTTTGTCTAGTGAGTTGTGCCCTTTTCACTCTAGATTCTGCAACCCCAACTGATGTAAAGTCATGAGATGTTTCATGTGAATGAAAATGGCACAATGAGTGCCATTTCTTCATCATTACTCCAGTTAAGATAGATATTATTTCTTTGAATTTGTAGTGGAAATCCAAGGAGATTATAGGCTGAGAATAGTATAAGTTTCTTTCTAGGGATAAGTTTTACCTGAAAGAGAAAAAGCTTTAAGGACAGTATATCCTTCCATGTCCTAACGCATTTCTCTCTTGATTTTCTCTAACCTCTGTCTAATAGCAGTTTGCCTGATAATTCCCTGAATATTACAATGAATACTCATATCTTTTTTTTCTTTTCTGTTTGTTATAAAGAAATACCTTGCAAGACCATACTTGGATTTATATGTGCAATTTGTCCCTTTCCAGCACACCCCATGATTGAGTTCAGTTCTTATTCACTTTGGTACACTGATGCTCTCATTTTTGCCAGCCGTTTTGTTCTACAAGTATGGTTTTGCCAAATCTTTCTTAAATTTGTCCCCTCTTTGAAAAAATACAACACTTCATTTTATTCATGTTAACCTTAGTAGTCTTGAAGATTCATTTCTGATGTATTCTGGGTGCGTATGAGCTAGGGTGAAGTTGTCATGGGCTATGTCTTTCCTGCACAGTAGAAGTCATCTCAGTGGATGCCAGACCAGGATCAGTGTACTCTAACCTGAGTGTCAGTGGCAGAGAAAAGGTCAGCTGCCTCAGCCCCAGCATAGGTTGCTTGCAGAGAAAATACCTGTGCTCCCTCCCAGTTAGGCTGGTAGAGAAAGCACTGAAATCCTGGCTACAGCTGTTGCACTGTCACCTGGGTGAGCTACACTGGTGCTCCCTCCCTGGTATTGCCTCGTACGCTGCAGTCATACCCCTGACTGCAGTGTACTTATGCTTTTTAAGGCATCCCTGTGCTCTTCTGATCCGAGAGCTGAGAAGGGTCATGTCACTGTTTAGAGAGGGCTGAAAATACCGGTGACCGAGTTGGCTGTTACGGTCCCAAACTGCGCCACGCACCTCCTGCCACCTCTGCCAGGGACAGGGTGCTGGCAAGGGGAAGTGGCAAGGGGGGGAAGTGGCAAGGCGCATATTTGGGCAGGGGGAATGCAGCAGCCCTGGAGACCCTTGAGCTAGCTTTTGTGTCCTGTCTGGCGCCCGTTATTCCTGCTCTTGTGTAGGCAAGACAGGGAGGAGGTGGCATAAAGCTGCCTGCATCAATCCGGCAGTACTCATGGCTTTCCATAGTATGGAAGAATTGTTGCTTGCGATTTTTGCAGTAGCTTCTGTTTCTTCAGAGCTGCCGGGGATGGAGAATGAACCAGCTGGCTCTAATTTACATCAGAATTAAACATTGATATTTCCTCCTGGCGAAAGTTGAGAGCGTCTCTCCACAGTGCAGTTTTACAGCACTTATTAGGAATGTAGATGACCCAGTAGAACATACTTTTAAAACTTCTTCCTGAATTATATCTGGTTTCTTTAACTTGAATTAATTTGCTGCTTAAAATGCTTGACACCCATAATCCAGTCCTGATTTAAGTAGTCTCTCATATAATAAAATCATTCAGATTTCAATCTTTGCTGTACATCTTATATCTCTTACAATTTTATGGTTGGTTTTTCTAAGATATGCACTGAGATCTATGCATCTGTAAATAAAATCCTACCTTTAAAGATTTTTTTTCAAGTACACTGATGTCTTAAAATAATTCTTAAATTATACAAAGAATTTTTATACTTAGTTCAAGAATACTATATTTAGTATAGGTTCCTGTCAAAGTATATGCATAACATTTACTTCACTCACTCAAAGTTCTTACCTTAAATGAAATTTGATGCACTGAGATTTCTTTTTGTAAATCATTAGTATCATCTTTATTTATAATCTTCTAAGAACATTGAGTTTTCTTTTAAATGAGTGACTTAGTTTGAATTAGTCTTCAGAAAAAGAATACAGCCAACAGAAATCAATCCTTTCACCTTGACTGAGTCCTCTAACCATTCTACTTGCATCCTTCTTTCATTCCTGTGCATTGCCTTGAAGTTTCTAGCCGTTGTAGTCTTCTCCATGGCTGCTCAGAGGCACTTTCTTCTAAACTGATGTTTCTCAGGCATTGAAAATGAATGAAATTTCTCCTCAAAACTAAGATGCCATTAATTCATTTATTCAAGCATAAATAACTACCCCTTGCCAAGGTCAT